AAGGGGAACTCTGATGAAGACGTCTTATGTAAAAGGGCCACTCTGATGAAGACTTGCTATGTAAAAGGGGCACTCTGATGAAGACTTCTTATGTAAAAGGGCCACTCTGATGAAGACGTCCTATGTAAAAGGGGCACTCTGATGAAGACTTCCTATGTAAAAGGGGCACACTCATGAAGACTTCTTATGAAGGGGGACTCTCATGAAGACTTCTTATGTAAAGGGGGACTCTCATGAAGACTTCTTATGTAAAGGGGGACTCTCATGAAGACTTCTTATGTAAAGGGGGACTCTCATGAAGACTTATGTAAAGGGGGACTCTCATGAAGACTTATGTAAAGGGGGACTCTCATGAAGACTTATGTAAAGGGGGACTCTCATGAAGACTTATGTAAAGGGGGACTCTCATGAAGACTTATGTAAAGGGGGACTCTCATGAAGACTTATGTAAAGGGGGACTCTCATGAAGACTTATGTAAAGGGGGACTCTCATGAAGACTTATGTAAAGGGGGACTCTCATGAAGACTTATGTAAAGGGGGACTCTCATGAAGACTTATGTAAAGGGGGACTCTCATTATTATTATTATACAGTATTTATAAAGCGCCAATAGTTCACTCAGCACTGTACATTACAAAGGGGGACAGAACATGTGACAGAACAATACCAATACAATGCAAAACATGAGGGGATCGAGGGCCCTGCTCTTTCGAGCTTGCAATCTAGGAGGGAGGGGATGGTGGCACAGGAGGAGATAGCTGTGGGGGATGGAGTGGTAGGAAGAGTGGAGGAAATCAGCAAGTTAGCACGGGGTGAGGTAGGCTTCCCTGAAGAGATGGGTTTTCAGGGTGCGCCTAAAGGAGAGGAGAGTAGGTGATAATCTGATGGGTTGGGGCAGGGAGTTCCAGAGGATGGGTGACACCCTGGAGAAGTCCTGGAGGCGGGCATGGGAGGAGGAGACCAGGGAACTAGAGAGAAGGAGGTCTTGTGAAGACTTATGTAAAGGGAGACTCTCATGAAGACTTCTTATGTAAAGGGGGACTCTGATGAGGACTTCTGAGGAAAAAGGAGGCTCTGATTGGGATACCTGATATACAGAAGCGTGCCAAGAGTAGGGATTCACCAATATTGAGTACTTGCACAAGTACTTGTGCAAATGCTCCTGATACCTGAAACTGATACCTTTGCAATGCTATTTGAGGCCATACAAAATGAAATCGTATGTGATTTGAACAGGAACGTGGTGCAATTGCAGTTCAAATTGCATGCGGTTTCCTGCACCACTCCGGAACCGTCATTTGTCTGCAGTGCTGAACGTCTTGAGTCATGACCAACACAAGCTGGATATAAACCCTTGGCTTTGCACAGTGGATTATAATTTATTCTATCCAGAAACATATTATACAGGTAAGGTCCTCTCACTATTTTCCTCTTTGTTGGGCCCCTATGCTTTTTTTTTCTCCTGTAGCTGTCACCCATTGTGTGCCCAGCTCCTGGATCTAGTGTCTTTGACTTTCTAGTGGTCTGTAGATCTCCATCCTTTCCCATCATCTAGGATCTGCAGCAATGTTCCCAGTGATCAGAGGCCCCCTTCTGTGTTAGGAAAGCACTACCCGATCAGGCATGGAATGCACAGCCACTTGCGTTGCTCAAAGGGCTGGAGGAGAGGCATAGGCGGTCTGCTCCCAAGCTGACGTCCACCATATACCCACAGGCATACGTTACTACCACTCGGTTCACCAACCAGCTGCAGCAACTTTCAACCTCTGAGTTTAAAAGGCTGCCGACGGCAGGGCTGGATGGTGCTGTGCCTTCTGCCAACAGCTAAACACCCAGTGTGCATGAGGTCATAGTGGTTCTTACGGGCAATTTACCAGTTTATTGAGCAAAACTGGTTGTCCAGCACTCCCCAGCAAACCCAAATTCTAAGTAATCTGGCTGGATTGCAATCAACCGCAGACAGCAACTCGCAGTTCAACAATGACTCATATGCTCAAACAGTTGCACGGGTAATACTGGTGACCCAAGGGCCCCTCCACAGTTTTACATACAGCTTACTATGTCTTTTTGATGCGCGTTACTGCGTGGGGCGATGTGCATTACTGCGTGGGGCGATGCGCATTACTGCGTGGGGCGATGCGCATTACTGTATATAGCTACATTTATTAGCGAGACAGAGAGTGACCGAGACAGAGACACACACACAGAGAGAGACAGAGAAAACACACACACACACACACACACACAAACACAAACACACACAGAGAGAGGGGGACAAAAACAAAACAAAACACACACACACACACACACAGAGAAGAGGGGGACAAAAAAACACACACACGGGACAAAACACAAAGAGGGGGAACACAAAAAAAAAGAGAAAGGGGGACAAACAAAAAAAAAACAAAAAACACACACACACACAAAAAGAGAGGGGGAAAAAAACACACACACAAAGAGAGAAAAACAACACACACACACAAAAGAGAAACAAAAAACACAACACAAAAAAAAAAAACAAACAAAAAAAAAAAGAAAAAAAACAAACAAAAAAAAAAAAAGAAAAAAACACAAACAAAGAGAAAAAAAAAAAACAAACAAGAAAGGGGGAAAAAACAAAAAAAAAAAAAACACAAAAAACAAAAAAAAAAAAAAAAAAAAAAAAACACACAAAAAAAAAAAAAAAAGAGAGAGGGGGAAAAAAAAAAAAAAACAAAAAAAAAGGGAAAAAACACAAAAAAACAACAAAAAAAAAAAACACAAAAAAAAAACAAAAAAAAAAAAAAAAAAAAAAAAAAAAAAACAAAAAAAAGAAAAAAAAAAAAAAAAAAAAGGGAAAACAACAAAAAAAAAAAAAAAACAAAAGAAAAAAAAAAAAAACAAAAACACAAAAAACAAAAAAAGAGAAAGAAAAAACACAACAACACACACACAAGAGAAGAAAAAAGGGAAAAAAAAAAAGACAGAAGGGAAAAAAAAAAAAAGGAGGAAAGAAAGAAAAAAAAAAAAAGACAGAAAAAACAGAGAAAGGGGGAGACAAAGGGGGGAGAAAAAAAACAAAAAGGGGGGAGAGAAAAAAAAGGAGGGAGAGAAGAAGGGGGAAAAAGAAGACAGAAAATAAGAGAGACAGAAGGAAAGAGACAGAAAAGGGGGAGGAAGACAGAAGGGGGGGGAGAGAAAGACAAAGGGGGGGAAAAAACAGAAGGGGGGGGAGAGACAGAAGGGGGGGAGAGAGAGAAGAAAGGAAAAAGACAGAAGGGGGGAAAAGACAAAGGGGAAAAGAGAGACAGAAAAAGACAGAAGGGGGGGAGAGACAGAAGGGGGGGACAGAAGGGGGGGAGAGACAGAAGGGGGGGAGAAAAGAGAAGAAGGGGAGAGTGGAAGACAGAAGGGGGGAGAGAGACAGAAGGGGGAGAGAGAGAGAGAAGGGGGGGGGAGAGAGAGAAGAGACAGAGAGGGGGGAGACAGAAGGGGGGGAGAGAGAGACAGAAGGGGGGGAGACAGAAGGGGGGGGAGAAAGAAGAAAAAAAAGACAGAAGGGAAAAAAGAAGAAGGGGGGGGAGAAGGGGGGGGAGACAGAAAAAAGGGGGGGGACAAGAAGAAGGGGGGGAAAGAGACAGAAGGGGGGGGAAAGAGACAGAAGGGGGGGGAAAGAGACAGAAGGGGGGGGAAAGAGACAGAAGGGGGGGGAAAGAGAGACAGAAGGGGGAGAGAGAAGAGAGAGAGAGAAGGGACAGAAGGGGGAAGAGAGAGAGAGAGAGACATGAGGGGGGGAGAGAGAGATACAGAAGAGAGAGAGACAGAGGGGGGGGAGAGAGAGACAGAAGGGGGGGAAGAGAGAGACAGAAGGGGGGGAGGAGAGAGACAGAAGGGGGGGGGGACAGAAGGGGGGGAAGAGACAGAAGGGGGGGGACAGAAGAGAAGGGGGGGGGAGACAGAAGGGGGGGGCAGAAGGGGGGGAGAGACAGAAGTGGGGGGGAGACAGAAGGGGGGGAGAGAGACAGAAGGGGGGGAGAGACAGAAGGGGGGGGAGAGACAGAAGGGGGGGAGAGAGACAGAAGGGGGGGCAGAGGGGGGGGAGAGAGACAGAAGGGGGGGGGGGGAAAATAATTTTATACAAGCAAGTCAGACAAGAAAGTAAAACAAGAAAGAGAAGAAGGGCAAAGAAATAGAAAAAGATAAGCAGGCAGATATTATACAGGCCACCATATAAAGAGATTTATAGATCGAGATAGATATACATAGATACAGATGGAGATCGATAGATGCGTGCGTGTGTAACACACACACACTATAGATAGAGATTACAGACCACCAGATATGTTGCAGATAAATTACACATATATATCTATTGTGACAGTAGGCAGGTGAAATCACCTGGTTGCGTCCTGGATGGACGATACATTTGTCTGAGGTTCAGGCTTTATGGTGATTTGTTCCACTAGAGGGAAGTGCTGAGGTAATGAGCCCAGCTGAAGGTAGTGGGCTCATTAAGGCTGGTATAAAACTTCCCAGCTTGCTTAGGGAGTTGCTCCCAACCTGGAACCAGATCTGTGCCTGAGCTGACATCTTATATGTGTGCAGGGAGACAAAAGCCTGTGTGGCTAGCCTCCAACCACTAGCAACTAGGTATAACATCAGGCTGTACCTAGTGGGTAGCTAGGGAAAGCTGTTGGTACAGTAAGTAGCCAAGTTGGCTAGGATTTAATTTGATGTTTCTTTTTGGTTTGACATTTTCTGTACATATTGTAAATAAACTGCACCTTTTTGTTTTTTCACCTCCACTGTTGTTGTGCTGTGCTTGTCTTTGTGTGTTGTGCACCCATCCAGGGGGTCACACACACCCACTGCCGAGCTAAACCCGTTACACTATCTATAACATAAATTGAGATATGCACTGACAGACAGATCCAGACAAGATATCTATCTATGAAGGATAACATAATAGACAGATTTTGCTATATATTGTTCTATCTATGTCATCTGACAGATGCATTTACCGGCTTTGGTTGTAATCTGGGCTCCTCCGGCCGTCATGAACTCAAGATTCCCGAGCTGCAGAGTCCCAGACAAGAGCTTCCACACCTCCTGATCTCTTCATCAGTGAAATCCATCACCTGCATGGCGGTCTGACAGGAGAAAAGGCAATATCAGAGGACATGGGACAGTGAGGTCATCACGCAGAGACACAGAGATACTAAACCCGATTAGGCCGTCATGCGTGCACATCAATAATCATCTTGTACATTTTTTCTTCTCTATATTCTTTTCCAGAATAAATCCTGGAGCTAGATGGCAGCATGGGTGGAAGGGCCTGACATGACTATGTTTGCAGGACAGGCTATAGTAATGCAGGGTTAATAAAGTAGTTTTGGGTTAAGGGGGGAAAGTGCCTTCGTTGATTGGAGGAAGCTCAGGTGTGACCGAGAGAGACTGGGTGGGTTCGGGGTGGAGCAAGCAGGGCGGGTGCATTGCCAAGTTGCTCAGAGTCTGTCGGAGCTGGCACAGCATGTAGATACAAGCTTCTCCCGCCTTCCCTGGGTGTTTTTGGGGGGATCGCCTGTTTTCTCCGGGTTGTGTCATAGCAGATTTTTGGTAGGGGTCTTGGAAGGCAGCGACTGTTTAAATTTTGGAGAATGATGGGTTGGGCCCATCACAGTCTAGTGTTCACCTACCCTTGTAAATTTATAAGCAGTATGTTTTCTCCAGGTTGTGTCATTGCAGTTTTTGGCAGGGGTCTCAGGGTCTTGGAAAGGCAGCGAATGTTTAAATTTTGGAGAATTATGGGTTGGGCCCATCACAGGCTTGGGTGCACCTACCCTAGAAAAATTATGGCAGTAAGAGTCAGTTGGCTGTATTAAGGGTATCTCTTAGTAAATTGTCCCCCGAGTTGGTGTATTTGCGGATGGGGGCCTTGAAGTCTATTTTGGTGGTAGATACAGCTGGTTGGTCGATATACAAGTTGCCTTCTAAGACCCTAGACTTTAATGAGGTCAGTTTCTGTAATAACATTATGTGATTACTGTTCAGAGAGTTAACTAAAGAAAAATGTATTTTGGTAACAAAGTTGTAATCTTGTTATTTAATAAAATGGCTGCTACGGCCATAGTCATGGAACAGCCAGAAAGCAACTCCTGCTTGGTCCAAAGTCCAGATTTCAGCTATAGTGTCGAACAGAATGATTGTTCTAGTTCAACCATAAGGCAGCAACAAAAAATTTTAAAATCTGTAAATGATCCAGTCTTAAAGTGGAATTCCCACCCCCACGGTATGGCAATTTTCGCCATAGTTACATTGAACCAGCATGGAGCAATGTACAGTGCCTTGAAAAAGTATTCATTACCCCTTGAAAAATGTTCCACATTTTGTCGTGTTACAACCAAAAAACGTAAATGTATTTTATTGGGATTTTATGTGATAGACCCAACACAAAGTGGCACATAATTTGTGAAGTGGAAGGAAAAGGAATAAATGGTCTTTCACTTTTTTTTTTTTACAAATTATCGAGGTTTCTGAAAAGTGTGGCATGCATTTGTATTCAGCACCTCTATACTCTGTTAACCCTAACTAAAATCTAGTGGAACCAATTGCAAGTTCCAACTGTGTGTAATTTAATCTCAGTATAAATACAGCTGTTCTGATTGAAGCCCTCAGAGGTTTGTTATGAGAACATTAGTGAACAAACAGCATTATTGAAGGTCAAGAAACACACCAGACAGGTCACCTCTTTGGAGAAAGTTTGTGGAGATGTTTAAAGCTAGGGTTAGGTTTGTTTCAAGGCACTATATACAGTATATACCCTACCTTGTGGGATCCTTTCTCCAGAAGCTGAAAATCACTTTACAGACACAACTGTTCCAGTCTATCTACTTATACAGTAGCTTTCGATCCACATGCCAAGTATGTGGCTGCCCTGCTGCATTTCTCAACACAGGAGGTTGAACACTCGGCATGGGCACCGTTCAGAGAATTGTCACTGATTGCAAAGCATTCTCTGGTTGGATGGCATGGAGAGACAGAGCAGTGATGTTACCTGGGACACAGAAGCCAGTCGAGGTTACTGGAGTAGTGGTGTGTACTGCAGTGATTTCCAGTTTCCAGGAGGATCCCACAGGTATGGTACATGCATGGCTTTTTTTCATCTTGGAATGCCGAGGAACGCAGTTTTCGGCACCCTCAACACTGAATGTATGTTAATGGAAAGTGATTCTGGGATGTGCTGGAGGGTCTATTGATGCCAGCGGGAGATCTATTTGTGCTGTGGAGGTATATTGTTACTGTTGGGGGTTCAATTGTTACTGAAAGGGGTCTTATGTTGCTTGGGGGGGGGGGGTAAATCAGTTGTTGTTAGGAGGGATCTCCTGTTGAGGGAGAAGTCTATTGATGCTGGCTGCTGAGGGTCTATTGATGCTGCTTGCTGGGAGATCTGTTGTTGTTGCTGGGGGTCTATTATCATTGGGGTGGATCTATTGCTGTTAGGGTGTTATTTTGTTGTGGGGGAGTCCACTATTGCAGGGGGGTCCAAAGTTGCAGTGGGATCTAATGTTGCTGGCGAAAGATCTATTGTTACTGGCTGCAGGGTTCTATTTTACTGCTAACAAAAATTCCATACAAATTAGTTAGAGCCACAAAAATGATACTTGCTTCTAGATTTTCTATAAGGGGAGGTACTGGGAGGTGGGTTAAGGGGGTGGAACAAGCAACGGTGGTCTAAAGGTGGGTGAGGGGTGGGGACAAGGGGGGAGTTCTTGCACCCATTCTGAGAAACAAAAAGGGTACATGCAAATTTACACCAGACCAACAATGTATAAATTGCCATACCTGGGATTCATCTTTAATTGACATAGAATAAAACATGTAGACTTTTTCAGATGGACCAGATTTTTCTAAGGCTGTATGTAATTTTCTATGTTTTAAAAAAATCCAAAATGTTTGCAGGAAGTTGATATGGTCAGAAAATCAGATAGACTCACCACAACGTTCTCGTACATTTCTTTATCGTTAAGGCCTTCTGCTGTCACACAGCCGGAGTTGGAGAGATACTGATAAGAGTGAGGATCCGAGAGCGAGAGAGCTTCTGCAAAAATCAACAAAATAACAGTTGTGGCTGAAACTTATTTTTACGTGGCTAAATACACTTTTAAAGCCTAATTCCAGGTATTTTCTTCCTTTTGCTTAGTTCCATTGTTCCAGCTAGGACCAATATAGGTACACATATTTCATATCTGGCTAAGCCTTGTGGAAGGGGAGAATCACTGTAGTAACACTACTGTTAAGGGAAGGCCTGCCCAGGGGAGGACTGAACATTTGCAAACTCGGGCACTGCCCGAGGGGCCCGGGGTCAGTAGGGGGTCCCATGAGATGCCTCTGGTACCTTTTTCATAGGCTTTTTTGAGTTTGGGCAAGGACACAGGGGCCCCATGATCCCCTATTGTCCTTGCTCAGTCCGCCCCTGGGCCTGCCCATAGTGCAAGTGAAGTTCCGCGGCGCACAAATAATATGCGCACACGCAGAGCCCTTACGAGCCAAACAGTTGTGCGGGTACCTGGACACTGGCGCACACACACGGGCACACGCCTGTCACTAATGCTGGCGCAAAAGGTCTATTTAAACTGGCTGCAGCAGTTGTCCCATTGCCATATGGTCTTTTCCCTGCTCGTGTTCCCTGATTCCTGTGATTGTCTCCTGATACCGAACCAGCATGTTCCTGATCTACGCTTGATTGCTTCCTGCCCTGACCTCTGGCTTGCCTTGGATTATTCTTCTGTCTCCTCTCCTGTCTGATTGATCCTTCCGTTACTGCCCTGGCCTTTGACCTGACTATTCTTCCTCCTGCCGCTGTAAGCCTGATCTGCCTGACTGATACCGAACCCGGCTCGTCTGACCCTGCATCCTCAGCACGCTGTGCTCGAGTATCCATCCATCCTGCAAAGGCTGCATCAGAATCCTGCTCCCTGCCTACAATTCATCAGCTCACCTGCTATTACCAGACTGATCCCAGGCACTCATACCCCACCGTGCCCCTCTGACGCTGTCTCACCATCAGCGGTCCTTGAGCCGGAGTTGTACGGGAAGCCTGCCTCTTCACATCAGGCTCACTATCCAGGTACGTGACACCTACAAAGGTCACTGTTGTAGTGGCAGCTACTACAGTCATCGACTGCTTCTACAGGATCCCACAGGTATGTAGTATGTACAGTCTAAAGCTGGACCAATGTACCGAAGCAAAAAAATAAATTCAGCTTTAAAAAAGAACCTGTGGTTTCAAACCAGGGGGGTCAGATGTCACCTGAAGTCTGACAGCCTCTGTCTACTTTCATCTTCTAAGTGTGCGGGTGTGTAATGTTAGGTTGCAAGTCATGGGATATACAGTATGTGAGAAAAAGCATTGCACCATTAGTTGGAAGTCCAAGTATGTTTATTTAGCAATAAAAAAAAAAAATCAATAAGACATTGTGTTGAGTTTTGGGGGGGGGGGGGTTCAGAAGCTCCCCCCCCCCCCCCACCCTACTGGGGTTCAAGAGAAGTCCTAGATTTAAAAAAGGGTTAAATGGGTAAGATTTAGAAAATATCCTTTGCAGCCTTTATAATAGGATTCAGCTGTTGGTTTCAGCTGGTCAGGCTGCACCTGTCAGACTTCAGGTGACCTCTAACCGCTGGCCAATCCATTCAAGGTGTCAGTATGACAAGTTACATAAAGCTAGATAAGGGGAAAATGTCAGTCTTCAAAAGTCAGTCATCACAGTTAGGGCTGGTTCACACCAGATGCAGTCCAGCATGTATTTAATCTACATAAAAAAAAACTCATGCAGTGTTTTCCATGTAATCCAATGACCAGGGGCGGACTCACCATTTGGGAACTCGGGCACTAGCCGAGGGCCCGGGGTCAGTAGGGGGCCCCATGAGATGCCCTGGTACCTTTCATAAGCTTTTTTGGGTGTGGTTTGAGTGTGAGCAAGGACATAGGGGCCCCATGATCCCTTATTGCCAAGGGGCCCCATGATTTGTCAGTCCGCCCCTGCCAACAATGGCCTTCGTTCACACCAGAGAAGGGCATTCCAGTGAAGTCAAGAAAGGTAGAACCTGCCACATTTTTCTTCTGTATGGAATGCAGCAACATGCATAAAAAAAAGAACCAGAATGCCTCAAACGCACATACAAAAATGCATCCAGAACACAGAAATTGTGCTTTGAACTGGCCCTAACAATAATTAATGATGGAATACTCTGATTAATTCATGAGCTTGTATTGAGCATTATTCTCTTTTCTCCTACTTTAAAGCTGTTTTAGTGAAGTTTAAGTGGAACTCTGCTTTAACATACACCATAGCTAAGCTTCGACTATCGCAGCCCAGACCACACCCCCCAACCACATCCCACCCAAACCAAACCAAAAAACCCCAGCACCCCCCCCCCCCCCCCCCATCCTCTAACACTTTTGTAAGTTACCTTTTTTTTTGGGGGGGGTACCTAGTTTCAGTAGGTACCTGCTCCCACGTCCGCTTACAGATATGTCTGGACCTATCTGAACTGTACTACCAGTCATATGAATGTAAAAAATTAAATTCTGCTACTAGATGTTTTCACAGCATGGAGTTGTCTTTGTATGTACTTCAATTATATATAAAACTTGGATTACTCACCTTGCTCGTCCTTATTTGCACCGGCGAGCAGAGCGTAGAATATATGATAGTTTCGCTCTCCAGGACTTTGCCGCGTTACTCTTGTCTATGGAGTGAAATAAGACGGAGATCTGGCATGGTTAGATCTCTAGAAGGGCCAGGAAACTCCAAAGAACAAGGAAAGGACTCCAACAGACACATATGATATATGGAGAAACCACCAAACTTACCTTTTCCAACAAATCTGGTTGCCCATCCATTAAGGAAAAAAGTGAAATCTTAACATTGCTCCCCTAAAAAAATTATACCTCTTACCTTTATCTGCATGGGCTTGATAAGACATAAAAAAAAAAAATGGAGAGACATTCAGGGTAAATTACACTGTGGGCAGCAAAGTGGCTCAGTGGTTGGCACCTCTACCTTGCAGCAATGGGGTCCACAGTTTGAGTTCCGGCTAGAACACTATCTGCATGGAGCTTGCATATTTTTGCTGTGCTCATGTGGGTTTCCTCCGGGTACTCCATCCCCCCCCACTCCAAAAAACATGCCGATAGGTTAACTGGGTCCTGTCTAAAACTGGCCTAGTATGATATTCTACTGAGCACACCCAAGATGGCCATTTCACCATCTGTCCCCAACAGCAGATAAAATATTTTGAGTCCCTAGGGAAAAAAAATTGCTATAGAAATATTTAAAAAGAATTATGTATTGATTTATGTATGCTTATGCTTTTTTTTCCCCCCTCCTTCCTTTTTCCCCCCTCCTTCCTTCCTTCCTTTTCCCCCCCCTTCCTTCCTTTTCCTTCCTTTTCCCACCCCCCCTCCTTTTTCCTTCCTTCCTTTTCCCCCCCCTTCCTTCCTTCCTTTTCCCCCCTCCTTCCTTCCTTTTCCCCCCCTCCTTCCTTCCTTCCCCCCCTCCTTCCTATTCCTCCCCCCTCCTTCCTTCCCCCCCTTTTCTCCTACAAAACAAAATAAAAAAAAAAAAAAAAAAATATAAAGTTGTAAAAAAAAAATGTAATAAAAACCTACTGACACTAGTGGCGGAACTATCAGGGTCGAAAAGGTCGCTCTTGTGACCAGGCCCTGGTGTTCTGCCACTGGGCTCTGAGGAAAGGGTCCCCAGGCTGCTCAGTCCAACATGCCCAGATATATAATATATATATATATATATACACATACACACATACAGTCAGGTCCATAAATATTGGGACATCGACACAATTCTAACATTTTTGGCTCTATACACCACCACAATGGATTTGAAATGAAACGAACAAGATGTGCTTTAACTGCAGACTGTCAGCTTTAATTTGAGGGTATTTACATTCAAATCAGGTGAACGGTGTAGGAATTACAACAGTTTGCATATGTGCCTCCCACTTATTAAGGGACCAAAAGTAATGGGACAATTGGCTTCTCAGCTGTTCCATGGCCAGGTGTGTGTTATTTCCCTCATTATCCCAATTACAATGAGCAGATAAAAGGTCCAGAGTTCATTTCAAGTGTGCTATTTGCATTTGGAATCTGTTGCTGTCAACTCTCAAGATGAGATCCAAAGAGCTGTCACTATCAGTGAAGCAAGCCATCATTAGGCTGAAAAAAAAACAAAACAAACCCATCAGAGAGATAGCAAAAACATTAGGCGTGGCCAAAACAACTGTTTGGAACATTCTTAAAAAGAAGGAACGCACCAGTGAGCTCAGCAACACCAAAAGACCCGGAAGACCACGGAAAACAACTGTGGTGGAAGACCGAAGAATTCTTTCCCTGGTGAAGAAAACAACCTTCACAACAGTTGGCCAGATCAAGAACACTCTCCAGGAGGTAGGTGTATGTGTGTCAAAGTCAATAATCAAGAGAAGACTTCACCAGAGTGAATACAGAGGGTTCACCACAAGATGTAAACCATTGGTGAGCCTGAAAAAAAACAGGAAGGCCAGATTAGAGTTTGCCAAACAACATCTAAAAAAAGCCTTCAAAGTTCTGGAACAACATCCTATGGACAGATGAGACCAAGATCAACTTGTACCAGAGTGATGGGAAGAGAGAGTATGGAGAAGGAAAGGAACTGCTCATGATCCTAAGCTTACCACCTCATCAGTGAAGCATGGTGGTGGTAGTGTCATGGCATGGGCATGTATGGCTGCCAATGGAACTGGTTCTCTTGTATTTATTGATGATGTGACTGCTGACAAAAGCAGCAGGATGAATTCTGAAGTGTTTCGGGCAATATTATCTGCTCATATTCAGCCAAATGCTTCACAACTCATTGGACGCCGCTTCACAGTGCAGATGGACAATGACCCAAAGCATACTGCAAAAGCAACCAAAGAGTTTTTTTAAGGGAAAGAAGTGGAATGTTCTGCAATGGCCAAGTCAATCACCTGACCTGAATCCGATTGAGCATGCATTTCACTTGCTGAAGACAAAACTGAAGGGAAAATGCCCCAAGAACAAGCAGGAACTGAAGACAGTTGCAGTAGAGGCCTGGCAGAGCATCACCAGGGATGAAACCCAGCGTCTGGTGATGTCTATGCGTTCCAGACTTCAGGCTGTAATTGACTGCAAAGGATTTGCAACCAAGTATTAAAAAGTGAAAGTTTGATTTATGATTATTATTCTGTCCCATTACTTTTGGTTCCTTAATAAGTGGGAGGCACATATGCAAACTGTTGTAATTCCTACACCGTTCACCTGATTTGGATGTAAATACCCTCAAATTAAAGCTGACAGTCTGCAGTTAAAGCACATCTTGTTCGTTTCATTTCAAATCCATTGTGGTGGTATATAGGGCCAAAAATGTTAGAATTGTGTCGATGTCCCAATATTTATGGACCTGACTGTGTATATATATATATATATATAATATATATATACACACACACATATATATATATATACACACACACACACACATATATATATATATATACACATATATATATAACATACATACACACACACACACACACACACACACACACACGATTCTGCACACAGCAGCAGCCCTGTAGCAGTAAAAGCTGGATAAAAAATAAAATGAATGCAGCCACCACATCTAAGAACCAGCAAGCTGTAAATGTATTACATTTTTGTTTTTTTTGGATTAGACACATTTGAACCCTTCTCCACTTCGTCAAAGTTTTAAGTGGAGGATATAAAGAAAACATTTTTTTGTGTTTAATACTATGTATCTAATATAATGGAAAAATAATATCTAGCTAATAACCTTCTGTATATACTGCATACATAGTCCAAGGCAAAACATATTTTTATGTTTGTGTTTGTAGTTTTTAATGGCGTAGGAAATAATTAAAATAAAATAAAAAGTATGTTTGATCTGCAGTTGCAGTTATAGAATTGCCAAATGCAACAGGAATAATAAAAGGCTCATCTGATCACCGCCAACAAAACTGTGAGAAGCGCTGAGACCTGGCCCAGCACGACAGCCAATACCACGCTGTCACCCAGAGAAGGATACAGTCCACCACGCGGCCACCCTGGATGTGTCCTTGCTGGGAGAAGTGAAGTTGGATGAACTTCCCAAAACGGCTGGAGTTGTTGTTATAAACCGTCTTGGCATTGCCGAAAGCTTCGAGGATTGGGCTGTGAAAGGGCCAAAAAATAAATAAATTGATAACACTGCAGTTTAGACAGAGGAAACAAAGAACACGGAGGAAACACAGTCCACATGAGCCCACAAGTAAAATAAAAAAAAAAAATCAGTATAAATTAACTCTGCCCTAACCTAAGCATTTATCCCATTTAAAGTGACACCAAATGATGGTCTAAAAAAAATCTATTCAAAGGTCGTAAAGTGAGTACAGTGGAGAGGCTCCCCTTTACTCACTCCAAGACCAAGCAAACTAGTGAAGGCAAAACAACCGCGTATCACCCTGAACTGAGGAAATTACCATTTAAACCGTACGCCCCTTGAGGGTTAGGGACTGACGTGAATGTACAATATATATGTAAAGCACTGAATAAATTGATGGCGCTATATAAGTACTTGTAATAAATAAATAAAATGCAGGGCTTTTTTCAGCAGAAAGATTGGGGGGCACTGAATATATGTAACGGCAAGGGGTGGTGTGATGTGTTGGAGGGTCTATTATTGCTGGCCTGTAGGGGATCTATTGCTGCTGGAAGGGTCTTATGTTGCTGGGAGAGATCTACATGGGGAAGGGGAAGATCTACATGGGGAATTGTTGCTGGTTTCTTGAGGGTCGATTGATGTTGGCTGCTAAGACATTTATTGTTGCTAGTGTGGATCTATTGTTACTGGGGGCATATTTTGTTGCAGGGGGTCCATTGTTGCTGGTGGAAGATCTATTGTTGCTGAGGGAGGATATATTGTTTCTGGGAGGGATCTACTGTGAGGAAGGGGTCTTATTGTTGCTGGTTTCTTGATGGGTCGATTGACGTTGGCTGCTGAGAGATCTATTGTTGCTAGGGTTGATCTATTGTTACTGGAGACATATTTTTGTTGCAGGGGGTCTATTGTTGCTGGTGAAAGATCTATTGTTGCCGAGGGGGATCTATTGTTGCTGGGGGGTCTTATGCTATTGGAAGGGATCTACTGTGAGGGAAGGGTCTATTGATGCTGGCTGCTGCGAAATTATTTTTTTTTCTGGCAAGGGTCTATTGTTGCTGGGGTGGATCTATTGTTACTGGGGCATATTTTGTTGCAGGGGTTCTGTTGTTGCTGGGGGATGTTGTTGTTGGCTGCATGGACATTAGCACCATTTGGTTCGGTATTTTCTAAAACGGGAGAGTACTGGGAGGTGGGTCGTGCTTGCATGTGGGTTGGAGGCAGAGACAAGGGGTGACTCGTAAGGCAGGAGTACCTGCAACTATTCTTTAAATAAAAAGCCCTGAAGCATCAAAATCCATTTTTTTGTGAAATAAAGTAAATTGACGGTAAATAAACCACATGACTCGGATCAATCCTTAGCCACACAATGAGCACCTCTGCTGCTCAGACCACTGACAGGCATTTTTAGACCACTTGCTTAAAGGGATTTTAGACATAATAATGCACACCCAAAAGTAGGAGTACACCCAAAAACCTGTCCTGAATATGTGGACATTAGGGCTGATAAAAAAAAAAAAGAAAAAAAAAAAAAAAGTATCCGGGACAGTACACAGCTGTCATGTTTCACATGACTGTCATGCCTATAAGTGTTCTTTGTATTTTGTCTCTGCTCCTCCCTTTCCTTCCTGGTTTAGTTCATGCTGTATAGATAGCCCCACCCTTTTTCCCAGTAATGCACTTCAGTTTCAAGCCTCATGTCATGAAGCAGATCACATTATGATGTTTTGACCTATGAGATGTTCATTGTTGTAAGATTCTCTCAGTTTATGGAATAAACTTCACAAGATCTACAAGGTGTCATCTAGATCGAGTCACTGCCTGTGTTATTCAACTAAGATTGGAGTTATCGCTATCTCATCATAACGAAGTTACAGAGATCACACTTTCAATGCTTAGATTGGAGAGACAGAACAACAGTTGTTCTGGATTCAGACTTCTTCAAACTCATCTAGTTCAGCACTCGCCTAAGAACCCACGGAGGATCCAGGATTGGGATCCCAACGGCATCAAGAGCGACCTCCTGTGTTGGGGCAGTGTACTCTCCACCTGTGCTTACAGAGGATTGCATGTTTCTAACCAGCATGGTTACTGCATGTCCTTTACTTCTTTATCATATCGATAAACATTTTTGAGGTGATCGACATTTTGAGTCACTTGAGTCACTAGAAGGGCTCTACCACCTCCCTCTTTTCTTTTGCAGCGGACACGTCAAGTCGCCTTATGGGTTTCTAATCAGCTTCTTGTAGTGGATGGTATGTTTTTCTTTATAGAGAGATTGCGATTGGCTGGTATAGATTTCTATAGCTAGATTTTGATTGACTAGTATGGTTTTCTATAGCTGTATTGTGATTAGCTAGTACGGATTTCTATTGCAAGATCGTGATTGGCTGGTATGGCTTTCTACAACAAGATTGTGGTTGGTTGGCATGGTTTTCTGCAGCTAGATTGTAACTGGCTGGTACGGATTTCTATATCTAGATTGTAATTGGCTAGCATGGTTTTCTTATGCTAGATTGTAATTGGGTGGCTGTCAAGATTTTCTTTCGCTAGATTATGATTGGCTGGCAAAGTTTTCTATTGCTGAATTGTGGTTGGCTGGCATGGTTTCTTTTCAGCTAGATTGTGACTGGCTGGTATGGTTTTCTATAGCTGAATTTTGATTGGCTAGTATGGTGTTCTATAGCCAGATTGTGGTTGGTTAGTATGATTATCTATTGCTGGATTGTGATTGGCTGGTATGGATTTCTATTGCCAGATTGTGATTGGCTGATATGGTTTTCTATTGCAAGATTGTGATTGTCTGGTATGGCTTTCTACAGCAAGATTGTGGTTGGCTGGCATGGTTTTCTGCGCTAGATTGTGACCTGCTGGTATGGATTTTGATAGCTAAATTTTAATTGGCTGGGATGGTTTACTTTTGCTAGATTGTGATTGGCTGCCATGGTTTTCGTTTGCTAGATTGTGATTGGCTGCCGTGGTTTTCTTTTGCTAGATTGTGATTGGCTGCCACAGTTTTCCTTTGCTAGATTGTGATTGGCTGCCGTGGTTTTCTTTTGCTAGATTGTGATTGGCTGCCACAGCTTTGCTAGATTGTGGTTTTCTTTTGCTAGGATTGGGATGGTCCGCCGTGGTTTTCCTTTGCTAGGATTGTGATTGGCTGCCGTGATTTTCTTTTGCTAGGACTGTAATTGGCTGCCGTGGTTTTCTTTTACTAGATTGTGATTGGCTTGTATAGTTTTCTATAGCTAGATTGTGATTGGCAGGTATGATTTCCTGAGCTTTACATATTGCCCTTGGCTACTGTAGACCATGTATATGATTTCCTGTCTGGACATAGAACCAGGTCATCAGAAGCTTATACAAACAGGCCTGTATTCTATACACTGTGGAAGCTGTGTAAATACTGAGTCATGTCCCATGCTGAGAATGTTTGTATATATGTCACATCATATGTCACCAAGTAATATCCAGCGACATAATGGATAGCCTTGTACAATGATTGCATGCTGGACTCACTGCCAGGGAATTCTATGTTGAAATTCTCTGAGGTCAGGAAAAAACAATTACAAAACTAGAGAGTAGACAAATAGTGTACACACAGAGGTTATGATATACACAATATTGCAGAGTTATTTGACATAAAAGCACATGCCTCTTCCTATAGACCGAGGCTAAACTTCTGCTTCCCATCCACTAATCACTATTGTATACATTGGAGACATGCAAACTGCCCACTCACATTCTATACACCGAGACATGCAAACTACCTCCCTCATATTGCTACTTCCCTCCAGTTTCTGCAACTTGACTTTTATTATTATTATTATACAGTATTTATAAAGCGCCAACAGTTCGCTCAGCGCTGTACATTACAATGGGAGACAATACATGAGACAGTACAATAACAATACAATGCAATACACGAGGGGTTTGAGGGCCCTGCTCCTTGGAGCTTACAATCTAGGAGGGAGGGGATAGTGGTACAGGAGGAGATAGCTGTGTGGGATGGAGTGGTAGGAAGAGTGGAGGAGATCGGCAATTAGCAGAGGGCGGGGTAGGCTTCCCTGAAGAGGTGGGTTTTCAGGGTGCGCCGAGAGGAGAGTAGGTGATAGTCTGATGGATTGGGGTAAGGAGTTCCAGAGGATGGGCGATGCCCTGGAGAAGTCCTGGAGGTGGGCATGGGAGGAGGAGACCAGGGAACTAGAGAGAAGGAGGTCTTGTGAGGAGCAGAGAGTGCGTTTTGGGTGGTATTTGGATATTAGGTCAGTGATGTAGTTTGGGGCAGTGTGGTGGACAGCTTTGTACATCAGTGTTAGCATTTTGAATTTGATCCGTTGGGCAATTGGGAGCCAGTGGAGGGATTGGCAGAGGGGGGTGGCGGAAATGGAGCGGTTGGTAAGGTGGGTGAGTCTGGCCGCCGTATTCAGGATCGACTGAAGTGGGGATATAGCCTGTTGTGAGGCAGGCCACTGAGGAGGGAGTTGCAGTAATCGAGTCGTGATATGATGAGGGAGTGGATGAGTTGCTTACATTCTATGTTCTGTAGAATAGTCTGCAAATTCAAACCTGCGTGGAAATTAAAAACCCACATGGGAATAATAGCTTTGGGGCAGTACAGATCACTTGTTTTGAAAGCCAAGATTGTACCAAGGTCTATATGTGATAAGTCAGTCAGGGATCAGTTTTTAATGGTCTGATTGGTCTAAACCAATCTATGGTGGAACTGGATGGACTTTTGTCTTTTTTCAGCCAGACTAACTATGTAAACCAGGGGTGACCTCGAAGGCCCCACACTGACCTTCAGTTCTCAGTAGGCAACATCATTTTACTTAGTAAAAGCATGCCTATACTATAGACTTGATTAGTGGACCTTAAGGACTGGCAGACTTAATTTTTTTTAATATATACAAATGTATTTTGGAAGGATCATCATCCAATAGGGACCTTCTCGAGGATTCACTCCACACACAAAAAGTGCATTTCTAGGGCTCCTGGCTCATGTCTATTCAACGACACAGCAACAAATGCAAAGAATTACCCTCACCAGGGTAATTTCCAAACTATATAGAACAAGACAGACAGTTTTCAGCCCACAGACTAAGTGATCGCCCAGCTTGGGATGCTGAGCTTTCATACTGTTCATCCAGAGACCAGTCTATTGGACAGGGGCATACTGTACTTTACCTTGGGCATCAGTCTGATTGGAGTGCCGGTCTGGCAAGCACCCCTCAGCCATGTGCACTGCAATCGGTTGCAGTGTGGTAGTGCGGAGTTCGAGGTTAAAGCAGGCAGGGAAGAGACAATAAAATGCCTCCTTACTGTCTGTCAAATGCTCTCTGAAGGGTTTACAGTCCCTCACACCTACGGCAGACAGATTAGGGTGGATTTACTAAAGGCAAATAGATTGTGCACTTTGCAACTGCACTAATTTTCTTTAGTAAATGTGGTAAAGCTTCACTTTGTAAAGAATTCCCAATCAGGTGCAAGGAAAAAAATATTCACTGCTCAAAAAAATTAAAGGAACACTTTAATAAGAGTACAACATCAAGTCAATGAAACTCCTGGGATATTTATCTGATCAGCTAAGTAGCATAGGGGGTTGTTAATCAGTTTCAGCTGCTTTGGTGTTAATGGAATTAGAAACAGGTGCACTAGATGGGCAACAATGAGACGACCCCCAACAGGAATGGTTTTACATGTGGAGGCCACTGATATTTTTTTCCCTACTCATCTTTTCCTGACGGTTTTTAACTAGTTTTGCATTTGGCTAGGGTCAGTGTCACTACTGGTAGCATGAGGCGATACCTGGACCCTACCCCTGCACAGTCAGTCCAACTTCTCCAGGATGGCACATCAATACATGCCATTGCCAGACGGTTTGCTGTGTCTCCCAGCACAGTCTCAAGAGCATGGAGGAGATTCCAGGAGACAGGCAGTTACTCTAGGAGAGCTGGACAGGGCCATAGAAGGTCCTTAACCCATCAGCAGGACCTGTATCTGCTCCTTTGTGCAAGGAGGAACAGGATGAGCACTGCCAGAGCCCTACAAAATGCCCTCCAGCAGGCCACTGGTGTGAATGTCTCTGTCCATAAAATCAGAATCACTGCCCGGCACCATAGAGCTCGATCAGCATTTGCCATTGAACACCGGAATTGTCAGGTCCGCCACTGGCGCCCTGTGCTTTTCACAGATAGGAGCAGGTTCACCCTGAGCACATGTGACAGACGTGAAAGGGTCTGGAGAAACCGTAGAGAACATTATGCTGCCTTTAACATCTTTCAGCATGACTGTTTTGGTGGTGGGTCAGTGATGGTCTGGGAAGGCATATCCATGGAGGGACGCACAGACCTCTACAGGCTAGACAATGGCAGCCTGACTGCCATTAGGTATTGGGATGAAATCTTATGACCCATTGTCAGATCCTATGCTGGTGCAGTGGGTCCTGGATTCTTCCTGGTGCGTGACAATGCCCAGCCTCATGTGGCGAGAGTATGCAGGCAGTTCCTGGAGGATGAAGGAATTGATACCATTGAATGGCCCCCACGCTCGCCTGACCCAAATCCAATAGAATACCTCTGGGATATTATGTTTCGGTCCATCCAACGCCACCAGTTTGCACCTCAGACTGTCCAGAAGCTCAGTGATGCCCTGGTCCAGATCTAGGAGGAAATCCCCCAGGACACCATCCGTCGTCTCATTAGGAGCATTACCCAGACGTGGTCAGGCATGCATACAAGCACGTGGGGGCCATAGAAACTACTGAGGACCATTTTGAGTTGCTGCAATTAAATCTCAGCAAAATGGAATAGCCTGCTGGATAATGTTTTCACTTTGATTTTCAGGGTGTCTGAATTCAGTCCTTTGTAGGTTGATCATTTTCATCAAACTATGGGGCACCCTTACGTTCCTAACACATTACCCAGTCCATATCAGTATAGAGATCCAGCAGGAGATCTTTCCCCATTGAGATCTGATGTGTTTTCAAAGTGTTACTTGCACTTTTTTGAGGAATGTATTTTTTTTTGCTTGCACATAATTGGATGATGGAAATCAACAGAGGTTTATCACATTCACTAAGCTCCGGGAAAATGAGCACAACTGCACTTGCAAACTAAACAATCTATTTGCCTTTAGTAAATTCATCCCATTGTGCCCAGTTGGGAGTAAACTGTGCACCATCTATGGTATTGGGGGAGGAATAGCATCCAGTCTTTGGTAATGAGGGGAATAATAGTGCCAATAATCGTTGGTGCCAGTGGCAGGAATTCTGCTCCATTGTTGGTGTCACTGGGAGTAATAGTGTCTCATATCAGTGGGAGGAATAGTGTCCCAAGAACCGAATAAAGTCGACCAAAGGACTGGTTTCGGTTCCAAGACTGCAGTTTGAAGACCGCCGATTTAAAAGTAACACAAAATCTGGAGTTAGACTTTAAGTCATTAAGAAACCATCCCATCAACCAATGTAACAAGAATAACTCGTCAGAGATACTGTGAGATCTTGAAGCTCAATCCTAGTAGCTTCCTCTAGCCATAATTGGCCAGATCAAGTGCCAGTCATTCTGCGTCTCACCTCGTCCCTTTAAAAGGGAAAGAAACATATTAAAAAGCCGTTCTTTCAATTTTCATAGCATGGAAATGATTACAATAAGGTAATCAAAGAAATATGATCAAGACACTTGACTATCTTTCTTTGATCCTTTTAGACACCAATTACAAGACTGAAAATTAAAAAAAAATAAAAATAAGAGCTTGCTGCTGGGTATATCTGACCTGCTTTCCATGATGGCTTTTTCCACGGTTGTCTGATTTCCGCCTCCCGCGCAGTTCTGGCTCATGGAGGACAGGAATTTCATCAGCAGCTTCGTGCTCTCTCCGTTTTGCCAGCCCCGCTCTCTCCACTGCAACAAGACAATTCAAGAGTTTACCGACCAGAGCTACAGTACATATTGGTGCTTGATCTCAGTCCACCCAGCAACTGCAGGACATGGGCTGGTAAGTGGGAACAGTTCAGTGCAAAACTTGGGCACTAAACGTAGTGTATATCTATTGCTACAACTTTTACGGTTTGAAAAATTTGGGAAGGATTCAACCCGTCAAATGTTTTATCCCATTGGGGAGATTTTTTTTTTCACTTCCTGTCCTGGGGACACAACAGGAAGTCAATGGAAATCTATTCAAACTAAGGAGAAAGCCTCTTCTAATTTGCATCAATAAAATAAAACCCAGTGCATCTTCTTCAATATCATTTGCCAAAACCTAAAGTAGAACTTTTTTTTCCATTTTGGATAGGAGCATAACCGCTGTAAAGTTTATTTTTGCCATCTGTGTCCCATTAGGGAGATTTCCCCTCACTTCCTGTTCCATAGCTAAAGCAGGAAGTGAGAAGAAAATCCCTCTAAAGTGAAGGAATTCCTGGTTGTCACCAGAAACTGATTTCTCTACTCCTGTCCTGGGGTCAACCCAAATTTGGGATTTTCTTTTACTTTCGGTGATAATGGTAACCAGGACAAATAAGAGAGGGCAAGTCTCTGTAACAGGGACGCAGACATCAATAAAATCCTGACAGGGATTCCAGCCTCTCTCCACTCCATCCAAAAATAAAAAAAAGTGTGCTTTAGTCATCCTTTAATTAAATGACCGTGTGGTGTTTTGCACTTGCACTTTTTTTGTGATTCACTTACGGGTTTTTTCGTTGTAGTTTGCACGTTTGCGGACTTAAAAAAAGATCCTTTAATTAAATGACATTCTATTCATTTAAGTGGACATTCATGTTAAACCTCATGCCTTGCCCACTCTCCACTTGCTCTCTTTAAATTGGATTTAAAAAAAAAAAAAAAAAAAACACCTGAAAAAAATAAAAAAATCGACACACATACTAAATATATATATATATATAAAAAAAAATACATCTGTTGGGCTGCGAATGCACTTCCGCATTTCTTGCTAGGTAAGAATGACATCCCGGAACAGCCCCCCGACCCTCTCCTGGACTCTACACGTGAGCAGAGCTTCATTTCCCAGCAGCCCTGCGGCACCATCTACGCATGCACAAGTGACTCCAGACATATGCACATGCATGTGGTTTCCCTGAGCATGTACAAAGATGGGTAGCATAGAAGTTCAAAACTTCCCAAACATGAGCATGCACAGATGTGCCAAAGGGCTCTGCCATGACCTGCTGGCTGGTCAAGCCCTTTGGCACATCTGGGAAGGTGCCATAATGGTGAGCCCGGAGGGTGGGGGAGCAAACGAACAGAGGACTGAAGGTCCAATTTAACACTTTCCTAATGTGGATATATATGTGACACTTTTTTTTGATTTTGTCAATTTCAACCACTTCTGATCCACTGAAAATTGCAAGAAATCGTCAGAAATGAACCAACCTGCCACTCATACATTTGGTAGACCACCAGTATTCAATCAATTGTGAAGTTAAAGTTGGGCAGAATTTTGCACCTTCATGACCAGTTAATGAAATATTGAACTGAAATGGATGGGGCAATTTTAATCTGATGTTTAATAAGAAATAAAATAGGTGTTGTACTCACAAATGACAATAAAGTCAAGGCACATCATAAAAGAACAGCTGGGTCAACACCTCGCTGAGTAACAGTCCATAATGAGGAATGTAGACATCCAATAGTCTGATGCGTTTTCGAGGACTTGCCTCTTCCTCAGAGTCCCTGAGGAAGAGGCAAGTCCTCGAAACGTGTCAGCCTATCGGATGTCTACATTCTCCATTACGGACTGTTACTCAGCGAGGTGTTGGGGCTCTGAGGAAGAGGCAAGTCCTCGAAACGCGTCAGCCTATCGGATGTCTACATTCTCCATTACGGACTGTTACTTAGCGCGGTGTTGGGGCTCCGAGGAAGAGGCAAGTCCTCGAAACGCGTCAGCCTATCGGATGTCTACATTCCCCATTACGGACTGTTACTCAGCGCGGTGTTGGGGCTCTGAGGAAGAGGCAAGTCCTCGAAACGTGTCAGCCTATCGGATGTCTACATTCCCCATTACGGACTGTTACTCAGCGTGGTGTTGGGGCTCTGAGGAAGAGGCAAGTCCTCGAAACGCGTCGCCTATTGGATGTCTACATTCCCCATTACGGACTGTTACTCAGCGCGGTGTTGACCCAGCTGTTCTTTTAGGATGTGCCTTGACTTTATTGTCATTTGTGAGTACAACACCTTTTTTATTTCTTATTAAACATTTTTTATGGTAATGCACTAGGCCTGTGCACCCTCAGTTTGTTCTTTCCTCGTTCAGTATATTTGGATTCCCCCGGTCTATTGGGGGCAGCAAGGTGTGCATGTTCCAGGACATTCTTAATGTGGTTGTAGCATCGAGTCCATCCCCAAGCGCAGGAGCATTTGTGTTTGCTGGTTCAATTTTAATCTGATGCCATATTAAAAGTGAAAAGGATTAGTTGACCATTTATAATGTTTGCTTATTTCTTGAGTAAATATGGTTAAGTATCCTTTCAAATACTTTGTAAAATAAACAAAACAATGAGAGGTGTGAACATTTGCATGTACCTGATGAGCACGCATTGACTGTCATGTCTCTTCCACAGGCAGCGATAACACTCGTTGGCAATGGCAAAGATGTGGGGTGGCAGCTCCCCAAAGTGGTGCCGACTGTACATGTCCACGGCGCTTTCATCGTACAACCCAGCAATCTGCTTGTAGGGGTTCACCGAAGCCAGAATGGAGCCAATATTGGTCTGCAAAAGAATAAAAATATTAGATCGGAGAGCACAAACTGACTATGAGTTGGAATAGAATACATTCCCTTGTCCCCCCCATTCCCCACCCCAGCTTATACAATGAAACCTTTTCAGTCCAATGAAATATTGCTTGTTGTGTTATCCATATAGTCACTTGCTTTGTATTCTATACAGCTCACAGTCGAATGATATTTGATTACACTGTTCTTCACATCACTGAAAGGATTCTCCTTTGCCATGCGTTTGTAACCCTCTTTTGTGATATTATTATTTTGCAATTATTTTGTTTTTATACTCTGTACTTTTTGTGTTCCCAATTTTGGAAATTCCAAATAAAACAGATTAAACTAACTTTTTTCGATCGGATCATTTTGTTTTTAATTCTTCTTTTGAGACCCAGTGATGTCATCACTGGGTCTGTCTGATGAAATTTGTTGCAAGTTTAAGTAAAGACTCCAGTAAAAAAAATTCACAGCACCCTGCCTTGGAATCTTCTTTGAAAAGTCTGCCTGTTCTATTAAATAAAAAATCCCCAGCATGCTCTGCTGAAGTGGTCACAGGATGCTGCAGACTTTAGCCGCACAATCTGCTGCTCCAGTAAAAAAAAAAAAAAAAAAAAAATTCACAGCACCCTGCCTTGGAATCTTCTTTGAAAAGTCCCTGTTCTATAAAACAAAAAATCCCCAGCATCCTTTAGATGTGCATGCTCTGCTGAAGTGGTCACAGGATGCTGCAGACTTTAGCCGCACAATCTGCTGCTCCAGTAAAAAAAAAAAAAAAAAAATTCACAGCACCCTGCCTTGGAATCTTCTTTGAAATGTCTTCCTGTTCTATAAAACAAAAAATCCCCAGCATCCCTTTAGATGTGCATGCTCTGCTGAAGTGATCACAGGGTGCTGCAGACTTTAGCGGTGCAATCTTCTGATCAGCTGAGTGAGAATGCACGTCTAAAGGGATGCTCAGGATGTGTTCTTTTGTAGAACGCTCAGGAGCAATATGATTGATTGCAGAGAAAACTAATCTCTGTAAAAGGCAAGCAACAACCATACAGATCAGGAGGAGAAGGGATTGATGATGACAGCAGATGCCAGGACATGAAAGGAAGGCAGGGTCAAGCTGCTGCAGCATTAAAAGGTTGTATTGTGGAGATGCATGTTTGCAGAGAATTGAGATAATCAATTTCAACACAGTACAGGACTTGCTACAAATGTGGGAAATAAAAAGGTAAGGCTGCAGAGTTCAGTTTAAAAATAATGACTATTAAGACTAATGATGGGTCATTTTCTCAGCACAAGGACAGGTCCAGAATAGTTGAAAAGGAGCTTCCAATAACCCGGGGGAGTCATTTACAGCCCATTTAAAAATTAAAAAACTACAAAATTTTACCTTCTCCAACTTTAATGCATTTATCTAAACTTGTGCAATTTCAATTAAATCTTCAAATTTTAACTAAAATTTTAAGGCAATTGAAAATTCTCAGTAGGGCTCATATTTAGCTGCGGGTAGCTCTCTGATCCAGTTTCCCCCATGAGTGATTCATTTATATGTTCTGTACAAGAAACTGGAAGTGGTGTCCCAGCAGCAAAATTAGGCCCAACTGCCATTTTTCTTGATTAGCTAAAGAAGTATAACTCCACCTTATGCAGGTTGAAACATTAGATGTACACATTCAGGTCATTACAGCAAAAGGAAACAATCTCATTTAATCAATAAAAATTCTACCTACAATTGTCAGTTCTGTCCTTTGGCAGACCACTGGTGACCTTACAAGAAACTGCCATTTTTTATGACTGGAGGACAGCAGCTGAATACTTACGTAGATTTTGTCTTGCTGGTAGCGAAGGTGCAGATTTAACATGATGGCAGCTTCATGTAGGTCAGACAACAAGGACATGTCTTCCACCCCTTCCCGGTTATTCTGGTGCATAGAAAGGACAAGGTCGCGGGATAGCGAGTTGCGGGGGTACATAAACTCCTG